GGAGGGGGGAGGGGGGAGAGAGATTATTGACAGAGATGAGAGAACTCAAAAACAGAATTATAGATTTATAAGATGTTATATATACAGAATAACTTGTTGCAAGTAGGATAAGTAACAATAATGATTACTTCAAAAGATTGTAAAAGTCATGATCAAAGAAAAAATTATTTAAAATCCAAACAATATCATATAAATTGAGACGAAGGAAGTAATATAATTTTTTTTTCCACCGGATGGATTAGGAAAAGTCCCACTTAATTTGGATGGTTGTTATGTATGTTTTCATAATGTGTCGTATAGTATTGTACTGCATCGTTTTGATGTATATAATGTTTGAATATATTATATTGTTTGTCGTCGTTTTATAATGTCATGCACCAACAATAATAAATTTGCAAAATTATAAATAAAAAGTAAGGTACGAGATAGAATAGCTAAAAGGATAAAATAGAATTATTTAATTATAAGGAAAGGGTAAGATGAGAGGAAAAAAATGAGGTAACAACGCAATCACACCGAAATCAATCATTTCATAAAGTGTCACTTTTCATCTTACGTAATGACAGATTTAACAATACGGTACAAAAAATTTAAGTAACAATCAACATATTATATTTAAAGTACCAATACGATACAATATATAACAACCATCCAAACAAGCTGTCCCAATTAAAGATATTTCACATCAAAACTTGAACTCAATTTTTTTAATTAAGGATATAATAGTAACTTAAAATTTATAAAAACGGTTCAGTGCCCTGCGGAGGTTTCTATTTGAAAGTCAAATAGTCTTTTTTAGACGACTGTTTTATGTAAAGTACAGTAATATATGACTAAGTTGATTGAAGACTGAAGATTGGGACCTGAGAGCAGCAGTACAAAGGCAGATTTTGTGGATGAGATTGTATTTTGAGAAGTTTTGATATTTTTTGGTTGTAAATTAACGGTTGAAAATGATAATATGCATTATGAGTGGTCCTACGTATATTTCTTTTCAGGATTCTCATAGATATAATATTCTCTCCCTTTAATTTATACTCCTTATGTTTTAATTTATTTGAACTTATTTAACCGGATATAAAATTTTAAAAAAGAGAATAATTTTAAACTTGATGGTAAAATGAAACACATATATTTTGTGTGGCTATAAATCATTGTATAAAAATAAATTATTTTCAAATAAAAGGGGTCATTTTTTTTTGTACGGATTAAAAAAATAGGTTCATATAAATTAACGGAATGAGTAGGTATTGTGTGACTAGACACTAAATTTAAGAAAGAAAAAAAACTTTTAAAATTTATGATTTAAAATAAGCCTTAAATATTCATGTGAATATAAATTATCTCATTAAGGATAAAAATAAATTTTTTAAAGCATAACTACTTTTACTTATAAAAAAATTATTTTTTGTGCCAGGCCAAAAAACTATATCACATAAATCGGGATGGGCTTTTTATGACGTCAATATCATGGAAATGACACTAGATAATTATTTTAAGCATGATGTTTAAAATATATTTACAGTTTACAAATATATTTAAAAATCTGTCAATTTGCTCGAATTTCAGGACATGACATCCTAAAGTTTAAACCTCAACGTCGAACTTCAGGATATTGTATCCTAAAGTTCAAAAATTATGTCCAAAAATTAGAATTTTATACCCTGAATTGAATTAATAGTTCAAAATTTAGGATACTTAATCCTGAATTTTAAATTAACAGCTCAAAATTTTAATAAACTAAGCTCCCGTTTGACCGTAAAATTTGGAAACTTTTTTTTCCAAATTTTGTTTTCAAATATCTATTTGTTTATAGATTTTAACCCTTTTGGCCAGATTTTAAAAACAAAATCTTCAAATCACAAAACAACTCTAGAGTAGTTTTTGAAGTTTTTTACTCACAAAACTTCAATTTCATTTTCAAAGTAAATTGCATGTCTAGACACAATTTTTAACTTTCAAAAATTATTTTCATCTCATTTTTAAAAATTCTTTTTTCTTTCAAATTTCAACCAAACAACTCAAAAGTAAGAAATTTAGGATACTAAAATTTAGATGACTTTGTCCTGAAATTCAGACTTGAATATATTATAAATTATTAATATATTTTAAATATTAGGATTAAAAGTGGCAACCAGTGTACTTCGCCCGTTATTGTCCGACATTGTGTGGGCACACCTCAACCAATTGAAGTTTATTGTACATTAGAGTTGTCCTACGTATATTTCTTTTCAGGATTCTCGAATGCATATGGTAGCTTTTTATGACGTTATTGTCCGACGCTATGACGTCGTTCCGAAACCTAAATACCAATATCCTGGACTCAAAATATGTTTCTATAGTATTAAAAAAGTTATTTTTCTATATAAAATTCGGTATTATACCGCGTTTTACTTTAACGAAGCTTTAGCCGTTAAAGCAAAGCGTAGTATAATACCGCATTTTACATAGAAAAGCGCGGTATAATATCGCGTTTTATTTCTTTTTGGGTCCACCAATTAACAATAATTTAAATATATAAAGTGCGGTATTATACAACATTTTACATAGAAAAGCGCGGTATAATACCGCGTTTTACTTCTTTTTGGGCCCACCAATAAGTGTCATGCGGTTAACTGACATAACAATAATTCAAATATATAAAGCGCGGTATTATACCGCATTTTACATCAANTGGAGAGGGGGGTGAGGTTGTAATGGAGAATAACTCTGTGAGGTATAGTTCATCTCCACAGTGTCATGTTAAATTGCCGCTTACAATGGAGTACGATAAATTGGTATCGTTGTTACGTAAAAAAATGAGCGTGAGGAAATGTTCGGTGAACCTTAAAGTAACCGGTAGATTTCCGTATTCTGTGACTCCGCAGGGGTTTGCTTATTATTCTGAGTTTAACATCAAAGATGATGAAACTCTTAGAGATTTTTTGTGGATTCCGGATGAATATAGGGAATTTATTGTAATAAAATTGTTGAAAATGTACGTCAAGGCTAAAAACGTTGGCAATAATGAGATTGCGCAAAGCAGGGATAACCCCTAGTCATCGGGTGGTTATTCTGGAGGAGTTTTTGCCGGACAGATTCCTGATGAAAGAGTTTGCCTTGATTTAAACTTATCACCACTGGCGAATGAACAGCAAGGAAATAATTTTCTACTTTACATAATCCACAAGACGACTGGTAAATTTCAATTTTTCTACGCTTTAGCGATGTTTATTTTATGTTGAATTGGATTTGTTTTAACACTCATATTTTCCACAGGGGATATCGTTCGGATATGAATTTTACAAGTTATGCCCCGCTCCTAGTTGGAATATGCATAGTTCTGTCGTGTTGGATCATGGTGGTCCATCCAGAAGTCATCACCAACAAGAAAATGCCCATCATGGAATGTCAACACAGTACGACTTGTAAGTGAAGTGATATAGCTATATGTAAAGTATCTATCAATTTGAGTAGCTTATCATTTTGTTCTTTTTGTGCAGTGAAAACGAGCAACTTGATGTTCCTGACCTCACACAGTTGCCCGTAGACGATGTATTAACTCGTGATTTGGCAGATGCGCAGAGTCAGGAAGATGATAGTGATTATGACAACAATGTCGATGAGTCTGGAGATGACACACTCTTCCCTGAGGAAGGTGATGATGAGGAGGAAGTGAATGTCGAACCTGAGCTAACGAGGGAGCATGCTCCTCCACCTCCCGTTAGACCAGAGTTTACAAGTCTCATATGTCGTTTCATGAGCGGAATATTCCCTACCTTGATAATTTGCCAAGTATGCCAGATGTGGATGCCCTCACAAGGGATGTTGACGAATTTCGGTCAGCAATGTGGGATGAGTCTAAAGGGCATGTATTTTTTCGATAAAGCTCGCCTAATCAGGGCTATAAAAATCTACAGCATAAGAGAGTGTCGTGAGATGACGGTAAGGGCGTCAACTCCGGAGGTATACAAGGTTGTATGCCGTAGAGACATTATGGGTTGTCACTGGATGTTGCGTGCGAGTAAGAAGAAATCAGGGTTGTGAAAAGTCGGTAAATATATTAGCACCTACAGATGTGAAATGGACACATTCAATGAGAATCACTTCAACTTGGATGTAGACTTGATTTCTCTTGTCTTGATTCCATACTTGGAAGTGTCCATTAGGTTCAAGATCAAAGAATGTATTACAACTGTCTACCAGGAATATGGGTGTACTATAACCAAAAGAAAGGCATATCTCGGGCGCAAACGTGCTTTTGAAATTATTTATGGTGACTGGGATAAGTCATTTTCATCTCTACCCAGGTACATTGCCACACTAAAATACTTTAACCCCGGGACTGTTGTTGAATGGAGGCATGAGCGGAGTCCGAGAAGATCGGAATATATTTTCAACTATGTGTTCTAGTCATTTAAAACAGCAATTGATGGTTTTGTGCATTGTCGTCCGGTAATTTTCATAGACGGTATTCATGTCTATGGAAAGTATGATATTAAGCTTTTGATCGCATTTGTAGTAGATGCCAACGGACGAATATTTCCACTAGCTTTTGCCATTTGTGCCAATAAAAGCGAAGAGACGTGAACGCTTTTTTGAACCACTTGAAGC